ATAAATAAATTGTAAAGAAGGAAAAGCTATTCCTTCTCATAGAATGCCAGTTAATAAAGAAATGATAGAGCTAAAATATCATTTGGCAACGATCACAGTATTAACTGACTCAAACAAGAGTCAATAATGCTACAACTGGGGTGTGTGTGGTGAAAGTTTAATGTTTCAGCTCCCTAAAAGGACTTATTAATTGCAAAGGAATAACTGGAAGATGCCACCTTAAACAGGAAATCAGAGATAACATTATCAATAACCAGACCCACTGATATAAATACCTTGAAAAGGACACAACATTCTTCCTGGGGCATTTCTGCTAAATTGCATAATCTGAACTTGAAAACATCTGTGAAACCCAAATTGAGGGGCATTCTACATAATAACTAACCTGTCCTCTTAAGAAATGGCAAGTTCATGAAAACCAAAGAAAGACTAATGAACTCTTTCATGTTAGAGACAGCTAAATATGAGATCTCACATCATCAGATGGTAGGGAGCTAAAATAATGTAATTGCAACATTTAAAAAAAAAGTTGAAAACGGACTCGGGATTAGATAATGGTTATTGTATCATGGTCACATATCTTGATTTTGAGAATTGTATTGTGGTTATGTATGTGTCACTGGTCTCATGAAATATACCCGAAGTACTTAGGAATAAAGGGGCATTACCTCTGCAACTTAATCTCAAACTGTTCGGCACCTGCCACTCTTAGGGATAGGCAAAAGTTTCATTTAGCAAGTGATTTTGATAACTCTCTCAATATTTTTAAGAGTTTATGTTATAAGTAGTCTTCAAAACATATGGTAATTCCTAGGATATATCCTCATCCTCAAAAAATACATGTGCTAGGGAGGGGGCATGATGTTGGGCATTATGGTCAGGGAACAAAAGTCTACACTCATTCTAACCTAAGGGATCTGGGTGCAAATGCCGAGGGGGAAAACCCAGGCGTGGAATCAGCCTGAGTTTAAGGGGTTCTGTTGCGATCACGGAAAGGGAACTAATCCTCTCCATTTTCCCACGCCTTGACTTATTCAACTAAGAAACAGGAATAATTATTTTTCTTAAACGTCTGCCTCCAAGGGCTGAGGCTAACACCGAGATAGCGTGCTTGGAAAGCGCTCTGCACACTTCAAAGCCCTACACGTGTGTCACTACATGTCCTAACTCCACCAGAGAGGCAATTTGGGAATCTGTCAGCACAATTTATTCTGTGGTCAAAATCCCCTACAAAACATAACACTTAGATAGATGGTCGGGTGCACGCGACGTGACAAGAGGGCCGAAAACAAGGTTTTCCTCCAAAATGTTCTTTCTACAGGAAACACCAATATGATGATGAGCAGGGATGCCCGTGAAAGGACGCCAACCTTCGTGGGTGCGGGTGGCGCGAGAAGAGGGGTAGGCACGCAAATTCCAAAAACAGAGAGTAGTTTGAATGAATGTGGGGCAGCCACTGACTCAGGGAGGAGGCAACTCAGAGAGGGGAGGGCCGAGGGGCGTGGTCATCTGTCCCGCCCCGCCCCCAGCCCGCTCAGGCCACGCCCCCCACCCCCGCTCAGGTCCCGCC